GAAAATTCCGAGAATCCAAAATTGGTACTGTTACAAGTTGCATGGCATCATTTTAACTCGATCTCCACCCTCTTCCACGGATAACGGTACATCGGTTAGAGGTTTAAAAATATTTTGTGTCAGCAATTTGTAATCAAACTGCATTAAATCGTATTACGTACTCTATCCTCTATCCAAAAAACTTTATTTTCGAACGTTTGCACAGGTGTATCAAATTCCTTCAGTTTGAAAACGCGCAAGACTTTTTAATGTTTTCATCCAACTTCACTAACTTAACATTTTTTTTTTACTTTTTCAAGAAACAAAAATTTTTCTGCTAGTGAATCTGGTAGCATCGTTTTAATAAAATGTGATAAACTTATTAAGAGTCAAGTGGTCGCCAACAACAAGGAATGTCAATAAATGAAACTACCTTCTATTTTTGTATCATGATGTTGATGTATGAATTCATAACTGCTTTGAGTGAATGGAAAATTTAAATATTATAAACCTCAATCTTAAGCGAGGAATAAGTAATGAAAACTGAATATAAAAAATTTTTAATTTAAAATTGAAAATCATTTCACACTTACACAGCTCTGGCATGATTAAATGATAAAAGGTTTGCTCAATGAAATTGTAGTTTAAAAAACTAAAACCTCGCTATTATAATTTCCATTCGTACTGTCATCAGGTATGTAACTTGATAATAAAATTGCTGCATCTTTTAGGCGCATCAATATTACATAGTTACATCCCGAGCTAATAAAAGGGTGGTAATAATAATAAAAACAGTTTTCTCGCTCCCTCTTGACACAATCGGCTCCCTTAGCAAGGCACTGTGTGTGGCATGATACAATAATTTTTAGAAGGTAGTTTCTCTTTTTCTTCTTATCCGCCATGTTAGCTATCTGACAGAAAACGTGTTTCGTATTTTTTGTTGTACCAAATTTTTCAAAAAAAAAATCCACCTTTCGACGTTGGAAAAATAAATAATAATTTTCGAATATTTTTAAATATTTTTCTTCATAAAAAGTTAACTGCTGCTTTCGTGGATATTGCAACACATGGAATAGGTGTAAGGATGCAGCTAAAAGAGCACCGCATACCACAGAGTTTATCGGCCGCCTATTTAAATAATAGGGCTTGCTTGAAATATGTACATGAAGATGTATGGAGGTGCGCACACTACACCAGCTTAATCGCTCCGACCAATAAGTTGTGGTGCAATGGAAAGACTAGCGAGCACATCTAAATCGGCGGCCGATAAAGTCCGTGGTGTGCGATAGATCTAATCCATTATAAACAAGAAATATTGCCGTTATATTTCCATTTTTATGGGGGAAACTTTCCATTATGGCCGTTCGTTAAAGGTGCGGTGGGCGAAGGGGGAGTGGGCGTGGCACCTCCAACCGACCTTTTTGGAGAGGGCATGAGCCGCCATTGACAAAAAGGCAACCCCCGACCACCTAGGCCCCCTATGGTTCCCTACGGACCCCTTAGAAAAATGGCCAAAAACCGCAATTTTTACGTACGTATATTTATATTTAAAATTAAGTGATCAGTTATGAAACGTATAAATCTTTACATGTTCTGTTAAAAAATATCTAAAATAACAAGCGAAAATCCCCAAGTTCTATATCGTAGCAGTGGCCACATTGCGTGTTTGTCACAGACACGGTTTATGTCAAAAATTTTGAAGTGAAACTACCTTCTAAAAATTATTGTATCATGGTGTGTGGTATCGTGTGTTTGTACAAAGCTTTTGTAAGGGAGTTAAGGCAGCGTCAAAACTCTAATGTCACTATTGAGGAAAACCTTTAATTATTGAATCATGAGCGATATGTACATATATTTTAAGTAGGTCATGCAAGGTGTTTTGGCTGGTCGATTTCTCATTCGACAGAACCCGTTTAATGACAGCTTTATGGTGCATTTACATGGTATGAATCTGTTCATAAGCCGTATGAATTTTCCTATAAAAGAAGCACCAACTCTATGAAGAAATGAATGAAAGCGATATATATTTAACAATTTTGACTTGTATACTAGACAATATTTTTTTTGTAAACAGCAAATAAAAAAATTTTATTTTGTGCTAGCTTCGAAGCTAGAAGCTTATTTTTTTGTTAAATGTGCTTTAAAAAGGACCTACTGCCAATAAAGCATTGTGGATTGCTATTTTTCCATATTTGTAATGCTTCCATTTAAACATCTTTGTGGAAAAACAGTTTTTTGTTCAGAATTGCTTGTTTACGAAACGTTTGGCATAAGTTGAAATCATAGGGATGCCGTTTTCTTCCGTTTCTCAGTGGATTTTATACTTGAAAAGGCACCAAAATATGTATGCAACACTTCTACATATCTTCGTTTAAAGCACAAAACCGCGCATCAAGGAAATGCAAAACCGCGTATGGGAGGTTGCCTAAATTTTATAGGAGAGAGTGAAACTGGTCCCAATTAAAAACGGTTCTCTCTTTTAAACTTAACAATCTTCTCTCCTTATGTCTAAGTCGATATTTTATAATATCGATATTTTATTATAAATGGCTAAGGGCTTGATGTCAGGAGCTTCCGATGACCAAATATCTTTTTTGGCACAAATTTCAGTTCCGAGGTTTTGCAGAACCACGATACGCGCTTTTGTACTTCAAACGACAAATATGTATATCGCTTGAACAATATGTTAGTGTTTGGCCTAGCTTCTCCTCCGATATTCGGCGTGCGTGATTTTGTCACACAAAGTAAAGGACAGTTTTACGCCGACTCCGAACGGCAATTGTATTTTAATGAGAAG